CGCGGGCCCGATGCCGGGCAGCGACGTGGCTCCCGGGACGGAGGAGCGGGGCCGCCGCCTGCAGCGAGACCCCGTGTAAGTGCGGGCCGGGGCGGGCAGGACTCTGGGGTTGCTCTGCCGGCGCTGCCACTGCGTCCCCGAGTGGCCCCGGGCCTGTCCCTCTTCTCTTCCCTCCTCATGGCTGCAAAAACCAGGTTTCAGGTGAGCTCCCACCCCCGTCCTGCGACACCTCGCGGCCCTGGGCGCGGGGGGGGCGACTCCGCTCCGCGCCCCCCACGTGCGACCCGGACAGCAAAGGGGCTCGGGGGGCGAGAGGTGCCCGCTCAGCCCGGCCCCTCCTGCTCCGATCTGCCCGGCACCCAGCCCCCGCTTTCATGTTAGTGTTACCAGAAGGTGAAGGAAAGCGATGGAAAGTGTTTCTTCCACTTCGGTTTTGCTTTATTTGTATTTTTTCTTTCTGTGCGAGCATGACTTCAGGTTCGTCGTGCCTGTGGAGGAATTCAGCCGCGTATGCGCGACTAGAGCATCTTGTAATGGTCCTTGTGGATCTGACCCTGAGACAGTAGCAGATGAGCCACGTGGGGGGGGGGGGGGGGGACAGGGAGTCGGAGGCTCAGAGGTGGCGGTGATCTGTAGCACTTCTAAGTATGCAGAGTAAGGCTAAGGCTGAGACCGGGTGGTGAAGATGATCTGTAGCACTTCTGGATATCGAGAGAGAGACTCAGTCCTGATGATGCTTTGCACTACGTCTAAATATTGAGAGAGACTGAGTAGTGGTGAGGATCTGGAGCACTTCTCTCTCTTGATATTTAGATCAACCCAGTCAAGTGTGGTGGTGATTGCCTTTTTTTTTTTTTTTTTAATTCTCTTCTCAGCTTGAACTTTTTGGAATGGAAAGTTCTGAAATGGTTCCCTTTAGCAGACAAGATCACGTGGAATCTGCTGTCAGGGAAAGGCATCGAACAACCGGGTTTTCTCAGAACCGTTAAAATGAAATTCTAATCTAGAAGTTTTTGGCAGGTTTTAGCATTAGAGTGAGGGGACAGACGCAAGCAGAGGATTGGGTTTACTTTTGCTGCATTTGCTAATTTAGTAAGTTCAGAGAAAGCAGCACAATAAAAAGGTAAAATAGAGCACGAAGTCGGATCATTATTTTTGATGCTGCCTGCTTTTGAGTCGCACCTTGCAAGTTACATTAATGAGTCTTTTACATTTCAGTTTATGACAAACTATTTATTGACCAGGCTTGGCTTTTTTAGCTTCAAGCTTGCACTAGAAATGTGATTTTGACTCCTACAATTTCTTTTATCACTAAATATCTGCTTCTGGAATTTGATTCTAAAAATGTATCTTATTTCATTATTGTATCTTTTTCCTTCCACCCTCCCTCCCCAGCTATATCATCTAATGAGAAATTAGACCCGTTATAAAGGTGGTGGGGAGTAGATCTGTAAGTTTGGGGGCGGGAGGGAGGGGGGATGACATGGAAGGATGTGCGTGGCAGTTTCCAAAATTGAGTGCTTTAATATTTGGTTGTAATGGACAATTTATTAGGATAGTTTGGTGACAAGTTTACATTTCACTGGTCATGTTATTAGCCTTATTTTAGGAACACAGCAATGCTATGTTTAGAAACATGGCAACGATTGGTTCTCTAAGAAGACCCTCATACTCGCATAATAATTTAGAGGAGCAGGATTCCAGTATTTTGTACTGATAGTTGTAAGCATGATGCTAGGGATGCTTGGTGGTCATGCTTCTGCCTTGTCTTTTCTTTTTTTCCCCCTTTCTTTTAATTTTAAGGTGTAGGAGCCTCTAACTAATATGCAGGTACTGGAAAAAAAACATGAATTTTGCATTTTGATAATGTAGAGATCTCCCTTTTCCTCTTCCTAGTACTTCTATCCCAAATTTGTCCAGCCTAGCATTGAGGCTTCTTGTTCTGAAAGACTTTTAGAAGCAATTGATGTCTTTATCATATTTAACGTGAGGGATTCATAGTCTTTATTGGAGCTATCATGTTATCCTAGACCGGGGTGTTCAACCTCCAGCCCATGAGCCAAATGTGGCCTGCAGAGCCTTGGCATCTGACCTGTAGGGCTCCCCACAGGTTGGAAAACTGGGCAGGGGAGCACTGATAACTCATTGCTCCATTTTCCCACTGCCAAATTCCATGCGGCAGGTTGGAGCTGGGCCATTCCTCCTTCCCTCTGCAGGACTGGATTGAAGCCAGGCTGTGCACCCTTCCTACCACAAGGTCAGGGCCACAGCCCCTACACCTGGGCAGAAGGATCGGGGTCAGGCCATGGCCCCTCCCTGTACAGGGCTGAATTTGGGACAGGCAGCACAGTGACAGATCAGGCAGGGAGCAGAAATCAGAGCATTGGATCAGGCAGGGTGAAGGGATGGGAGTGGCACTAGGGGAAGGTGCAGGGCTTATTTGTGACATGTCTGCCAAAAAGATTGGCCCCCACTGGCCTATGACAGTGGAAGTTGCCACAACATTCAGCAAAATTCCAGCTAGAGAAACTGTTTTTAGTTCTGGGAAACCTAACTACCTGGGGTGCTTACAGACATTAGGGCCCCTCTAATTCATGGTGCTCCCTGCTGTAACTTACATAAAGTGCCATGTGTTAGTTCCCCAATCGAACAGGCATTTGCCTGTTGGGTTGGGTGGGGATGGGGGCTGGAGCCAACCTGCAGTGGCCGTGGCCAGCAGGCTGGGGTGTTCCAGTATGCTCTGAGGAGGCTGCTGAACTGCCTTTCTCTCCAGCCCCCACTCATTGCACCAGCTCCGGGGCTGTCAGCAGAGGAAGGGAAGGGAGCTGCCATCTGCTTTGGGCAGAGCTGGGATTGGGTAGGGGGGAGTGGAATAGAGCTCTGTCGCCTCGCAACCCCCCCTGCCCCCCAACTACCCCGGATGCGGTACTGGGGGGAGACAAACTGTGCCTGGTTCAACCTCCCTCCCTCCCTCCCCTGCTGTGGCCATTCAAAGCAGCCTGCAGCTCCCTCCTCTTCCCCTTCCTTCCCCTGCTGACATGTGAAAAATTAACCCTGGAGGAAACACAAGTGCCTTAAGGCATTCAGCTTTAGAGTGCTTTAATGTAATACCTCATTTGATTAAAACGAATTTTTTGCACAATCTGCCAATTTAAAACCGTTCCACAGCTGTGCATGTGTGAGATACATCATAGTTGTAGAGCACTTTCAGGGGTCTGATAGCATGAAAAATGTGACTTGTGTAAGCACCCATAGATGTTGTAGCTGACTCATAACTGTGAAGAGCTGTTAAGCTGCTTCACAGCTAAGATCAATGTGATGTGGACCGACCTGCTTGTTTCTCTGTCAAGTGGCAGAGAAGAAGATAAGAAATACATTATCCTTGATTATTGGTTCTCACCCAGTTTTGTTAAAGAACAACGATCGTGAGTTTGAAGCACATTTGTGACTGATTAAGGCTGATAGAAAGGCTTTGGGCCCTACTACAGATGACTACCATTAACATTTTCAATATCTGTGGCAAGTCCTGACACAAGTGCTTAGACCTGTGTTCTAGAAACTGTGTTTGGCCATTTAATCTCTTGACTTTCCAGGTTCCATCTCAAGTATTTTTATTTAATAAAGTTTGAGAGATTATAGTGGGACAATTCTGGCATCGCTTAGATTTCACAAATTTCTCAGACTTTTTAAACAGTCTGATTTCCAGTGTATGTACAGAACAGACAATATTGATACTGATAGTTGATATAGATATAGATATCTATATATATAAATATATGAAAATGATATCCAAGGTGACTTTTATATCCTAAGATATTGTTGACATGCCTTTTCTTCCTGATGGAGCCATTGTTCAGCTGATTTTCTTCCCCCTCAGAAATATTCCATAGACTCACGTTTAGCAACTGCTCTTTCTAGAGGAGCCTTACAAGTCCAACAAGGATCTTGTTGCATCTTCCTCTCCACTCCTCAGTAACAACATTTTGCTTTTCAGAGCTGATGTTAAAAGGCACCTACAGGAGTGGAGGCTTTTCCTTTCTGCCCTGAATGGGTAAGAAACATAATTGCAAGTGACAAATCTTCACCATCTAACTCATGAGTGGGCAAGTATTTTGGGTGGTGGGCCACTTAACCAGGTTTGGTGAGCTTTTGAGGGCTGCATGGGTAGCCCCACCCCTTGACAGCTGCCCTGCCCCCTGGTGGCCATCCTGGGACTGGAAATCCCACCCTCTAACCCCTGACCTTTGCCACCAGAAGTCTCTCCCCTTGCTTCCTGGAAATACTCCTTTTGGGAGTGGGGCGGTTGCCATCTTAGAACTGGAAGAAAACCCAAATCATATATTAAAAGTAAAACACCTCCTATCACATTTTAATTTTATTACAAAAAATATTTTTGTCGTGATTTGTGTTTGCATATTGTGTATAGGGGTGATTGCATAATAACTCAAAAATAAATTCTTAGTCTTGTATATTGTGTGTGGGGGGTGTTTAGGTAGGTGTGTGTTTGGGTGTTGGGGGTTGGCTGGCTGTTTGTGGGGAGGCAATAGGGCGTGTTGGGGGGTGTATATGTAGGGGATTGTGGGGGCAGGGTGTGGGTGTATGTTATTTGTGGGGTGTGGGGACCCCCCCTACACTCCCAACCATGGCACAGCAGCAGCAGGCAGGAATGTTTGGGGATCTCGTGCATGGCTCAGGTGCTGGTGCCCAGTGATGCACAGATCTGGTCAGCGCTGCACATTATAGCATGGAGCACAGCCCCATCTGGGCCATCTCTGTCGCCGGCATTCTGTGCCGCACATGCACAGACCCTGCTCACAGGAGGGAAGCCCCACATGCTGGAGCCAGCTGCCTTTCCCACCCCCTGCCATGCAGGTCCAGGGAAAGGGAAGGCAGCCAGCTCCAGTTGTGAATTAAAAACAAGCAGGAATCTTATCAGGGGATAAGGCACAATGCCACATTT